GGGCTAATGTTTCCTTTCAGGCTGCTACTACTCAGGGGAGTGGTCTGCCTGAGCCAGATGGCTTCTGCCGTATCGAGGATGGGTCATTACTGCGGTCTTCCAGCTACTCTCTCAGTTCTCTCTCGAAGCCTCCGTCTCTAGTCTCTCAATTGTCTCTAGTCTACTCTGTGCCTAGTTTAGCCAGGGGTCTATTATCTGCGCCAGGGGTCTACTATCTGTGGCTGCTACTCTGTACTTAGCAGTCAGGCTTAAATACCACCAGGCCAGGGCAGAATCCCTCCTGTGGGTGGGGCTGTTGTTTCCTCTCACGCTGCTCAGGGGAGTGGTCTGCCTGAGCAAGATGGCTGCTGCCATATGGGCAATGGGTCAGCTCTTGGATCCTGTCAGCTATTCGCTCAGTTCTCTCCCCAAAGTCTCCTTCCCCAGTCTCTCCTCAGGCATCTGTAGCCCACTCTTACCCAGCCTTTGCCAGAGCCCAAGGTAAATGGCCACAAATAAAAATGTATGTGTCAACCCTTTTAACAGCTCTTGGCATCTCCAGCTGCTCATTTGTGGCAGAGCAACCCTGCTGGTTTTCACAGCTGGCTCTTATCTGTTACTTTGATCTCTGGTGCTGTAGGCCGGAGATCCCCACTTATGGTTTAGACCCTACTCTTCTCAGGGGGATCCAACTGGCCCATGAAATATTCCTCTGGCCCTGCTTCCCGTGGGTGCCCAACCAGCCTTCTTGAGTCTCCACCACACTCCTTACCAGTTAGGTTGTGGTAAAGCTGATTCTTCTGTCTGTCTGAGTTACAAGGTTTCTTTCTCGCAATTGTTCAGTTGTTTGTTCTGCGTGATTTCTCCACTATTTAGTTGTAATTCCAGATTGATGGTGGGAGGAGGTCAGTGTAACTTCCATTTGCTCCTCTGCCATCTTGCTCCCAGTTGATTGTGTTTTGAACTTTGCATCTGATAGGTTGGCTATTTTTCCTTGCTTAGTTCTATATTTGTAATTTTGACCTGTTCTTTCATTTGGGCCATATTTCTTTGTCTCAGTATACCTGTTACATCAGAAGGGGCAGAGCCTTGGGTATTCACCAGGGTCTGGCAACCCAGGTTGCTGCATCATGGCCCTTTATGTGGGGGAGGGGTCAGAGAGGGAACAGTGCTACTTGCTGGTCTCTCAGTGGCTTTCAATCACTTCCCCTTCTACCCACAATCAAATTGGGCCCTTTTGGTGCTGATTCCCGGGTGGGTGGGTTTGTGTATGTCCTGGGACCCTGTGGGTCTGTCCAACAAACTCTCCTGTGAGTCTGGGAGTTTCTCCCACTGCCAGAAACCCCCAGGTTTTAACAGCCAGAGGTTTTGAGGCTTTTTTTCCCCCACACGGGAACCCTGGATTGCATGGTCTGTCTCACTCCCCAGCTGTTCCTCCCAGTTTATCCGCATCCAAATGTGGGACCGCCCAGTCCTCCAGCTGCAGCCTTGCCTGCCCGGTCCTACAGCTGCCACTTTGCTGCACATCCTCTCTGCCCTGGCTTCCTGCCTCTGTTCCTTCTACCAGCCTGGATGAATGTTTCTTCTTTAACTCCTTGGTTGCCAGACTTCCATATAGTTCAATTTTCTGGCAGTTCTGGTTATTTTTTTGTTTCAAAATTTATTGTCATCATTTTGGTTGTGTGAGGATGCAAAGTTTATCTACCTACGCCTGCATCTTGGCCAGAAGGTCAGTGTGCACTCTTACCAAGTGCCATTTTTCAAGAAATTGTGTAAAAACAGAAGGTATACTAATCAAAATTTCTGATTATTTGGGTTGATCCATCAGTGTTTTAGTATACTGGTCTCTGTTTTCTGGCACGGTTGGCAAAAAAAATATACAAGTATTTAGAAAAATCAAATGTGAAGCCAGATTCCAAATGCTCAGTGTCCCTGAAATTATTTCTGAGGTTATCAAATTATGATTACAGCAGAGCCTCATTATAGTCCCTTTAAAATTTGTTCTGGGATGTTTTTATATGGGCATTCCATATTTCCAGTAGCCAAACTTATTTGGATGTACCCAAAGGCATTCAAAATTCATGTAATAATCATATTAGTAATATTTTAACAATATTACACCATCCATAGGCAATTTCCAAAATGCATGCGCCTATTACCATCTTTCTCCAGGGGACCAAGGAAACTCCCAGCTGCTGGGGAGCCTTGGAAACTCCCTTCCCTCTCCCCCATTGCCTTGCAGCTGTAGGAAAAATTTATGCTCTGCATCTCTCTGCAGCGCCTTTACCGAAATCCTCAGAGGAACACTGACTTCAGAGCCAGCCACGTCTGGCTTTGAGGTTGTAGATATATATCAGAATTGGTCTATGTTTTAATATATTTTATGACTTTTTAAAAGGTGACTCACACTACAATAGTATGTTCTATTTCTGTTTTGTTTTTCCATTACATTGCCTAGTACAGTATTTCTGGGATAGAAATTTTGCTATTTTTGGTCTTTCTGGGAATCTAACCACCAATAACATTATTTCTCCATTAAGAACGTGAATTTTAAAGTTCCAACTTACAAATGAACTTTTTTAAAAAAGATTTTATTTATTCATTTTTTAGAGAGAGGGGAAGAGAGGGAATGAAACATCAATCGGTAGCCTCTTGCATGCCTCTAACTGGGGACCTGGCCTGCAACCCAGGCATGTGCCCTGACTGGAAATTGAACTTGTGGCCTTTTGGGTTGCAGGCTGGCACTCAGTCCACTGAGCCACACCAGCCAGGGCTGAAATTTTTGATAGCAATCCATTTGTAAGTGGGAAAATGTATCCATTTTGTTTTTTCTTAGTAAATAACCACCAAAATGACTTTTTATAGATTTCCTTAATCCTCACCCAAGAATATATATATAATATCTTAAGCTGAGGTAGAGAGAAACTTCAATGTGAGAAAGAAACATTGATCAGTTTCATGCGATTAGTTTCATGCCCCAAAAAGGATTGAGTTCATAAAGTAGGCATGCGCCCTGAGTAGGAATTGAACCTTCCACCTTTTGTTGCTAGGACAAAGCTCCAACCAACTGAACCACTTGGCCGGGGCTTAAATCTTATTTTTAATAAGTGATCTCAGTCTACTATAATAACCTTTCAGATACAGCACTGTTTCATAACTAAATAAAAATAGTGGAAGTTTAGTGTAAATTAACTGTGTTTGCTACATCCACAGTGAGAACAAAGAATACTAACAGCTTAAAAGAGATGTCCCAGAGTCACCACAAAATGGCACATGTGATAAGAGACGGAGAGTTAATATGGTTTCAAACTAAAAGACATATAGCTGTTTAATCTGTAGTTGTACTCTTAACTTTATGGGTTTGGTTTGGTTTTGTTTTTTTCATGTTTAAATCTCTTCTACATGGCAACATGGGATTTTAGTTTAGGACACTATATAGCTATTGATGTTAACTATTCCCTGGTTATAAACCTGCCCTCGTTGACCCCCTGTGGGCCTTTTAGATTCTGCTGACTTCATCCAGATTTATTTCATAGGTTGGGACTATCCTGTTTTAGAACTCTTGTTGCTATTTTCATAATCAAAACTTCATTGACACTGAGGACAAGTGTTTATTCCCAGCACTTATTGTTGGTGTTGCTGGTAGCCAGTCAGGCCAGACCAGATCTCCAGAGAGTATACTAAAGAAAGGTCAGAAGTCCTCTTTACTCTTTTACATTAAGAAGCTGTAATTTCATAAAGGATGTCTGTTTGAAAAACATGATCTCGGTATATGCGAGAAACTGTTTCTGGTGGTTTCCATTTAGGGAGTGCCAATGGGCAAGCAGGATGGTGGCTTTTATTTTTACCTCATTCCCTTTGCACTGTTTGAAATTTATCGTGATCATTTATTAATTTTATTAAAAATGTTTAAGAAAATTAGGTTTAATGTCAATATTTCATGCAGTTTTCCACAGGAAAAAATTTTAATAGTTGATTAAAAAAATAAAATTAAGCAAAGCCATATATTCTCCTCCTCTATTAACAAATTAGTATGTACAACATGATCAAAGGAATATTTGAGTATATAGGATCAGTACATAAAAACCAAAGAAAAAATACCAAAACATGGAAATGGGAATTTTCTTTTCCTTTGTGCTTTGTTGTCTTTTTTTTTTTTTTTAATATTCCCAAGAAAGCACATAATGCCTTTGTAATCAAAGAAAGTTTTATAAAACAAACACCCAGGATCCTTCCCAACGCTAGAAGAGAGTCCATTTGTCACTGTTTCCTGACTTCAGAACCCCCTCCCTGCTCTTCCCTGTAATTTCAAGTGTCCTTTAGAAACTATAGTTTTACATGACCTTTGTCTTTAAAGTAGAGATTCTATTTGAATTTGTTACTAAGTTTTCAGTTATAAGTGATAAAAATGCTGATATTTTAGCTGCTTGGCTATAGGTTAACATTTGTTTATTTCTATCACTACCTATTTAAAATGATTATAAAACATTTTTCACATAAAAAAGGTGAGCTCAGACTCATTGTAATCTACTAAGAAAAAGGCCATATTGTTAGTCTCAGTAACCAGTTTTAAAATTTTCATACTTTAAATAGAAATAAACTGAGCTTTGAAAGATTCCTTTTTTGTTCCAAAGCTATTTCACCTAACAGTAATCATAGTAAAGTTCATTTATGTAACACATGTTAAGCCCACCGTGTGTTAGGTATGCGTGTGGGTGGAGATGGATAGTGAAAACATTCACAATATTCCCCCTATCTCCCTAAATACATAACTGGAAAAATAATGTTTGAATAACACTGCTGTGTCTTAAGTGCCCTGAAACCAGCGCAATGTGTTGGGAATGAGCAAGCCCGGGAGCCCTTCCACATAAGATGAATTGAAAAGCTTCTATAGGGTAAGATAATCTGAGCCAGACCTTGAAGCATAGGCAGTACTTTAAAATGTGACACGGTGAGGGGAGGGGGAGAGGAAAATTCATGCTAACTGTATCTGAAATAAACCAATATTCTTCTTATTTCAGGTTCAGGTTTTGAAACTGCTGTTGAATTTGTCTGAAAATCCAGCCATGACAAAAGAACTACTTGGTGCACAAGTAAATAGCTTACGAATTTGTTTTGTAAATATACAAATATGTAGATTTATCCCTTTTAAAATATTAACAAAGGTTATCCCTGAGAACAATATTGTTATTTTCTTTGGTCCTTTTTACCTACATGAATTTCCTAAATTTATTGTAATGAGCATATTATACTTCTAAACATCTTTTTTGAAAAGGTCTCCCTAGCAAAAATAGATAGTAATGTTTCTGTCCTTACCCAATTTGAGATACACTATGTCATCACATCTTTTACACCTGATTTGTTTATGGTCATATGTATCTTATTACCCACCGAAACACTAGTATTTATTGAGCTGTAGTATGTGCCAGGTGCTGGGCCAAGTGCCAAGACAGCGCAGTCAGTACAGCATGACATGGTGCCTGTCCTCATGGAGCTTACACAAAAATGTGTAACAAATGAACAAGATAATTAAAAGACAAGTGTTTTGAAGGAAGCAAAGGTGGTGCAGATATAGAATGACCTCCACTCCTATGGAAGAGAGACTCTGCTGTCTTCATCTGCTTATCCCTGTGCCTGCAGGGTAGGTGTGTAGTAAATGTTAGGTGAATTGAGTTCCCATGAAGATTGTATGATGGGTATCAAAAAAATGGGTCTTTCCAAATGATTAGGTTCTAGCAATTCTAGCATTGTAAGGAAATGGTATTTTTCAGCTAAAACATGAAATCTTTTTTCCACTACTGTACAATGTGGGGTTACATAAGATTTTACATTTGTTATACAATATTAGGGATAATTTTCTATGACAAGATTTTAAAAATGTATTTAATAGTTCTAAAATGTGGAAATATACATAAAAATGTTTTCACATGTTATTAAAATGATACTCATTGTTTCCCATTTCAGGTGGATTCATCATTCCTTTCCCTTTATGATGGCCACGTGGCAAAGGAGATTCTTCTTCGAGTTCTTACACTATTTCAGAATATAAATAACTGCCTCAAAAAGGAAGGCAATTTAGCTAAACCTGCTTTCACAAAAGGTTCTTTGTTTTTTCTGTTATATGGAGAAGAATGTGCCCAGAAAATGCGAGCGTTAGTTAATCACCATGATGCAGATGTAAAGGAAAAGGTAACAATAGTACCCAAGTTCTAACTGTTAGAGCATATTTTTCCAAAGAGTAATGCAGTCTGGAACTAACTCCTTTTTCATCTTCTTTACAAAGGGATTCTTTCAGCCACTGAATTTAAACAGTAAATACTAGATTTCATCATTTGCACAGTATAGCTGCTTGTTCTAAAACATTTTTTATTTTACTCTTTGCTGAGCTACTTCGGGTTATTTCCTTGCCATGAAATAACTGACCTTTTTATGTGTGAGCTGCTCTTCTACTGTTTGCTGTGACTTGTAGATACTCATCTGAGACAGCATTATTAGTACATGTACGTGATTGTTTCAGAACTACCATAAAAATGACCTTGTTCTTTTAGTAGCAATGAGATCCTAAGCTCTTGAGTCCACCTGCCAGCCTAGCCATACTGCTTTTAAGTCTATTCCAATCATTAGACTCTATTCTAGTCAATGAAAATTGTAAACTTTTAGGAGAAATGTTTCCTATCACCCACTCGTACTCAATGTGCCAGTATATAAAGATGCTGTATATAAAATACTGGGAACAATCAAATGTCCACCTATAAAGGCAACAGGTTAAAGCAATTAACTAGTCTTAAAAGAACTAAGCAGGTCTAAATGTGCTGATGTGGAAGGACGCCCATGAAATATGGATGTGTTTTTTAAATGAAAAGTACATGTACATATATGGACAGCACACTTGTTACAATGATACCCAAACTCCTGGGAATGGGATTTTGGAGTGAGGAAATGACTTTTCTATGTACACCTTCTACTCTATGAGGTTTTTTACTGTGGCATAACTTATGTAGTAATTTTTTAAATAAAAAGAAAAAACACAAGGTTTTGTTTCCTCCTATTAATTGATAGTACTTTATTAATTTTCATCCATATTTTACTTGATTAAAATTACAATACATGAAAATTTCTCAGCTATTTAATAGTATTTTTGCTCCATAAGCTACTATAACAATGATATATTTGAATTCAGCCAGATTTTATAATATTCAAGTTTATAACCACCACCATACCTAGTATTAAGTAAATCAAAATGCAAGCAGAAGTTTTCCTACACATGTATTTAAGGCAAAGCTTTAAGAGTAATTTAAATTTCCTTTGTAAATATATGGATTTCCATAGGAAGTCACAAGTCCTCAAACAGAAAAAATGTGTATTCTCAATGGTTATCCTGATACAGAAATCAAACTTGGAAACAATATTTTTACAGTAGAAAAAGGATTCAGTATTGAGATGAAAACATGTAAATTCCTAATTGGCTACAGCAGTAATGTACATATAATGACTAAGAATAATATTTTTATTTTCAGTGATGCAAACACAAGTATTAATTCCCTGAAAGATACATTTCTTTATAATATTATTTTAAATCTGCCTCCTTATTTAATGAAAATATATACTAAGAATGCACACATTAAAAACCAAGCTTTGGTTTCTGTGCTTTAGCAGCATTGGATTCTAAAATTATCTCTTTTTTTCTCTATTACTAGTTTGAATAAATAACCACATATCCTGGAGATAGAGCATTGAACCTGAAATGTCAAAATGTTAGAGAAAAAGGGGGGAGCCACTTTTAACTATGCAGAAAGAATTGCATAATGAAAATGAACAAGCAGTCTTTATTCCTGTAGGTCATGGCACATCTTGGCTTTTACTAGGTGGGATTTCTCCTATTTGGTGGTTCCATCTTCTTGGGCAATGAGGAATATCAGTGTTCCTCAGTTTCCGAAGGAGAAAGGGAAAGTTCTATTAAATCTCACATATTGATATGATGCCAGCTAATAAAAGAAGAAAATGAAATTGACTTAGAGGATAAGAGATTAATTAAAAGGTATTATGAAGTACATAAGACTGAATGGAGAGAAAAGAATGGATTTGTCTTATTTTTCCATTTTCATTTTGCACATAAACCCTTCAGAATGTAGATAAATGAAAAATAAAATGGGAAGAATCACTCCATACAGTGAGATTCTATAAGGAGAGACAAAGCTTTATGTACTTCTTAGTGATAAAACATCAAAGTAGAAAGAATGAAAGCTTGTGAGGTGACATAGAAAAATGAGGCCTAGTTAAGTGGAACTAGACCATAAAGTGCTTACAGACCATCAGATGGTATATGTGAATACAAAAATAATGGGGCCATTCACAGAGAAGAAATAAACAAGGTGTACTTGGTATGCTTGGAGAACAGAGGTAAGAGATGAATTTTCAATTCAGCAAGGAAGGTGACCACAAGAACTTTACCTAGTATTAGGGCAACATGCCCCGAAGTTAATCCATCATAAATCTAACATCCTGATTCGCATCTGCCTGATACTCTGAAGTGGAAAAGTATATGCTTGTTCAGATTTTTCCTGCAGGTCTGTTTTATGAGGAGACTTTCTATGCTTTAGTGACTCCAAATCACATACATTCACATACATTATATACACAAACACTGCATTCACATTTCCCCTTGACTGATTTGCATCTTGGTAGATAAAAATGCTAAACTTTGATTAAGATCATTTACATTTTTTGGCTCTCCAAATTTTACAAAATGAGCAAGACAAAGTTGTTAGTCCTCAGTTTTTAGTGCCCAGTTTTAGATACATACGCTTAAATTCGCAACAGGAACAGTACATCATCAAAAGAATTGGCCTATTTTCAGTTTCCAAATCTACCTATCTACTAGGTAGTGATATCTTAAATCATTTTCTCCCTTATATTTTCAAAGTGCATTTACAAAAATCATTTTATTATACACATTTTTTTGGAGGTAGGTCAAAATTTTCTTGTTGCACATGAGGAAACAGGCACAGTGATCATAGGTGACTTGTGTCAAGTACACAGAAAAATCCATGGTGGAATTAAGTGGTTAACATGTATCATGCATATATATGTGCTTGCAGCACTTCCTGGGTAGCATTTGGGGTAAAAAACCTATTTTGACTGTTATGAAAAAGTTCATTTCACTGAGACTATGGATCAGATAGAGTGTATCCAAATGTATCTAATGAGCTGTTTTTAGGATGGTTCAGAGTAATTGACTGCAGAGCCCTTATAGGACTGAAGTTCAGGTCAGCTGACACCCAGCTCACACACATGCAAGCACTTGTTTTCTTTCTCTCTCTCTCTCTCTCTCTCTCTCTCTCTCTCTCTCATTAGAAGTCCATAATGGCTTCGTAAAAGTAGAATTGTGCTTAGGGGGTCATTTAATATAAAAATGTACCTTAACCATGTAAAACATAAAATATAAGTTTTATTGATATATTTAGAATTACAGGTAAGAAACCAGAAAAAACTGAGTGTATGGAGAGAATAAAATTTAATTCAAAGTGCATGGTATATTAACATTTAAGGTCTACATTTATCTTTGTAAGATATTATTTCCTTGCAGCTATATTTGTGCTTAGCAGTCTGATATTTAGATTAAAAATAGAAAATTTCATAAATCATGTTCTCATAACCACCCTTTCCCTTCTTCTGTCCAACTCATAGGGCTTTTGATTTGGGGACTGTAAACATGCAATAAAAATACATGTTCCCCTATTAAAAAATTAAGTCTTTATCAATGGTAACTTAGCCCAACCTCCTCTATGTTTTTATTCTTAAAAAAAAATATAGCATTTAATATTTGGCATGTAAGCTAATCTTAGAAGAGCAAGAAGTACCATAAGCATGTGGGAATAAATTTTATCATTACTCTAATGTGAATGTAAGAAATATGGTTATGTGAGCAGTCCTCTGAAAAAAATCTAGGTATGTAGACAGGCTTGAATAACCTTGTAGAAGGCTCTTAATAATAGAACTGAACTGAGTATTTAAAATTAGTTTTTCATAACCTCAGAAAATTCTGCCACTAAAGTACAATGCTTCAGTTTAAAAAAAAAAAACCCATTTATTGCTTATACCATTGAGACAAGATTTAAAATCAATATTAGCTCATTATTTAAATGACCCATAACTGAACTCTTTCTTTATATGAACTTGCAATTCTAGCAGTAAAGATATTACACAAAACAAAACAGAAACTGGCAGAAGTTTCCAAATGTAAAAAATCATAATCATGAATTTCTTAGTCTTTTCAAATTTATATCAAATGTATTTCATTACAAGTTCCTGTGCTCTATTTAGTTTAAGTTTTCATCATCACTATTTAGGTATCTTGATTCTCCATGCTTCAAGACAAAAAAATCTTCTGTTGTAAGTCTGTGTCTTTCTAGAGCCTCATTCAGTTTCACTGGAGGCTCTAAGTAATGCTGGCGAAGGACAGAGAGAAAAAAATGGAAAAAGATTAACCATACATGTATTTCAGGGATATTTCAAATAAGATGTCAAACTAAAATAACTAACATATGCTTACTTAAAACAATGCCCTTTCTTTACATTGAAGCATTAACAAATGAGTTAATCACATTTTCTAAGACAACAGAAGCATTAATTGTTAAGTCAACAGAAACATCATACTTACCCATCTATCCAAACACCATACATGTCAAATTTGGTACCAACCTTAGATAGAACATCATTAGATTGCATGAAATCTGATAACTACTTCACTACATGAAATTTCAATCTAAATGGAATCAAAGCCTAAGATAATAGAGAATTAAATGTGACCAATATTTTTTAATATTGAAACACATTTTAAGTGTGTTGTGTGTATAAGCAAATGCTAGAGAAATATTTTTGGCTGAAGAAGGGTTGTTGTCCTCAAACGCCTAACCACATATTGATAATGCAGTCTACAGAGTGGAAGAGGGACAGATAAAACAGGTGACATGTCCCTACTTCCCTTTGTCTCCTCACCTTTTCAGAGCTTAAAGAACAAGAAGGTAGCATACTGTTGCAGGATGTTTTATCCTATCAAATATTTTTTTTCAAACAAACTGAAACCACTAGAAAATGTGTTATTCTTGACAGCCAGCAGGAGGGATGCTCAAGCGCACTGCCCCACAAGTTGCCCTGCCTGCAGCAGGGTGCCCCCAATGTTGCAGAAATAGTGCCAAGATGTCCCGTGTGACCCTACACAGCAGCTGGAAGTTTCCACAGCCCAATGCAGTAAACTTGGCCTCAGCCCTTATGTTCCCCAGCATTTGCATGTACTTGCTTGTGGTTGCTGTTATTGGAAAGATAACCCATTGGAAAGATAATAGCTTCTCCTTCAAAATGCAATGGGAATGTGACTTGACCAGAAGGAGACAGATGAGGTGGAGCTGTAGCTACAGGCACCTGGGAAAGATCACCTTGACTATCTCAGTGGCTGACGTGGATGTGACAAATGACAGCAGCACCAGGGAAGGCAGACGCTTTCAGTGGTTCGACTGGATGTGCGGACTGCCCGTGCTGGGTATGGGGCACAGTCCTTTGTTTTGAAGCCAAAATAAGACAGACCTTTTTCCCCTTCAACCACCATGCATGCTGATGGAGAGAAGAGTGCAGAGGGAAAACATTTCCCACAACCTGGATCTCTAGCTGTGGACACATCATTCCATCAGTCAAATGTTCTTCATTTTGTAAGCACTTGAAACAACTGCTTCTCCCTTTGCTGATAGCAGCACATGCTGCATTTCCTATTGTCCACCCATTCAGATCTGGCTTTGGAATTTGTTTTTTCTCATCTGCTGGGGCAGCTTGCCACTTGTCTCGCTAGGAGAGTGGCCATGTGAACTCATCTTATGGTGGACATGAACCTCCCGTCACACAGCGTGTGGCAGCATGACTTTGTCCCACCTGTCTGCCAGGGACGGTTCATGATGGTGATGGAGCTCCGAGGCCTGTTGCTTGCTTAGCGCGGTGAGGGCTGGCTGCACTGTGTCCCCCAGGGCCACGTGATCACGTCCCTGCCCAGGTTAGGACCCTGGTCAAGAATGCAGTCCAGCAGCTTTGGTCTGCCAGCGGAGCGGCCCTGTGCAGTGAGGTGCTGGGGAAACGACGCCTTAGGGACTAGGGAAACGCAGGGCCAAGCTTGGCTATGGGCTTGCACCATGAGATGCAATAAGACTGGAAGTTAGATCTCACTGCCATCCCTGCTAAGAGCCTGTGACATTTATGGATGCTTGGGACTAAATAAAGAGGGTTTGACACACAGGTCTGCTGAAACAGAAAGGAGGTTAGGGGTTGCCTAGGACTCTCGCTTAAGGATGGGCAAGGGAGGTGACTGCTAATGGGGGACAGAGCTGCTTCTGCAGCCAGTGACAATGTCCAAAGGGTCACATGCTGATGGTGGCTGCACAACTCTGAATATTCTAAAAGCAAAAGCAGTAGACATTCCAGTGGGGAAGTTGTATGTGATTTCCATCTCAATAAAACTCTTTTCAAAGAGAAGAAGAAAAAAAAAAAGAAAATGTGTTATTCTAACTACTGATTTAAAAGATATAAAAAAAGTCACCTCACCAGTTATTTCCCTTGTGTCCTAAATCTTTATATTGTATAATTGCTATTTTTTCCCTTTATTTCAAAGAGGTTTCCCCCAATTTCAATTTATTTTTTTATTTTAAAGATTTTATTTTTAGAGAAGAGGAAGGAGGGAGAAAGAGAGAGAAACATCAATGTGTTGTTGCTTCTTGCATGCCCCCAGCTGGGGACCTAGCCCACAACCCAGGCATGTGCCCTGACTGGGAATCAAACTGGTGACCCTTTGGTTCACAGGCCAGCACTGAATCCACTGAGCCACACCAGCCAGTGGACTGAACACCAGCCAGCCCAATTTCAATTTTAAAAGCTGCAAAATGTGGAAGTAGAAGGCAGGAATAAAAATAAAGAAAATTAGATTAGTGTCTCATCTAATCACCAGGGTTAAGTCTGCCTCCACCCTTAATGCAATAAGCACCTTTTGAGCACCACAGAGTAGCCAGTCCAGGGAACCAAACAAACCCTTGCCTTCCTGGAGCTTACAGTCTAATACAGAGACAAATAAGACATGAATAAATAACAAAATAGCATCTGAGTGTTTGATGAATTCTGGGAACAAAATGTGGGTAAGTGTGGGAGGTGGAGGTTTATGTTTAAATACAACAGTCTAACAAGTTCTCTTTGAGGAGCTACAAGATGGCAGTAGAGTAGGAGAATTTATCTCACACTGCCTCACAGAATCAAGCTGAAAATAAAAATAAGGGGAACATCCACCCAAACTGAAGAGTACCTACAAAGGAGACATTTAACCAAGGACGAACAGAAACCACCTCAAGGCCAGCAGAAAGGGCAGGGACGCAAAAGGGGCTGGCACCGCTTTCACAGGCAGCGGGCCAAGGTTGCGCACAGCTGAGGAGTGAAGCCAGGACCTCTAACCAGGCTCCCAAGCACAGGGTGCCAATGCTGGGATCACCCACACGTGCAGCATCTGGCAGTGAAAGGCCACGGGCTTTTTGCCTACTGGAGAAAGACAAAGCCCACTGGGGACACAGCCACCTTTTTACTATTCCTTACTCTTAGTGTTTTTCCTCCCTCCATCCTCCCATAATTATTTTTCTTTTCTTTGGTTTCATTGTATTCTTGTTTTTCTTATATTCTATTTCTACTTTTATTATTCTTTACTCTTTTATTGTTGATTTTGTTATTGTTGGGTGGGGATTTTTTTGTTTGTTTTTTGTTTTTCGCTTGTGTGGGTTTTGTATTCTGTGTTGTATGGCTTTGTTCTGTCAGCACCAGTATAACATCATTCAAGACATGGTAGAGGTTGAGCCCCTCAGCCAGACAGCCAGAGGGGAGAACCCACCAATGAACGGGTCAACAGTCAAGACCCAAATGGAACAGAAGGGCCCACATAAACCACAAGGGCAGTCCTAGAGCATCCAGCTCAAGAGATCAAGGAGACTACACCACTGAGTCCCACGGGACTCCTACCACATACTGCCACCCCATGAAAAAAGGAAGTCAAACCAAATCTAATACGTACAAACAAAAAGAGTCAGCTAAAATGGGGAGTCAAAGAAAAAACCCAAATGAAAGAAAAGGAGGAATTCCCAGGAAGAGAGCTAACTGAAATTGAGGCAAGCAATTTATCAGACATAGAGTTGAAAGTAATGGTTATAAAGATGCTCACAGAACATAGAACTACAAGGAACTTAGTGGGGACTACATCAGCATGAAAAATGACAGAGAAACCTTGTTAAGAACCTCTTGAAAATGAAGAATTCAGTATCTGTGATAAAGACTACACCAGGAGGAATTAAAAGCAAGCGAGATGAAGTAGATCAAATCAGCAATTTGGAAGAAAATCCAATCAGAACAACAAAAAAAGACTCAAAAAGAACAAGGATGGTTTAAGGGAACTTTGGGACAACATTAAGTGTAACAATATCCATGTCATACGGATACCAGAAAGAGAAGAAAGTGAGCAAGGGATAGAGAACCTGTTTGAAAAGGTAATGATGGAAAACTTCCCTAATCTGAGGAGAAAAAAAGTCATACAAACCCAGGAAGCACAGAGAGTCCCAAACAAGAGGAACCCAAAGAGACCCACACCGAGACACATCATGATTAAAATGGCAAAGTTTAAAGATAAATAGAGAATCTTAAAGGCAGCAAGAGAGAAACAGTCAGTTGCCTAGAAGGGAGCTCCAATGAGACTGTCAGCTGATTTCTCAACAGAAACACTTAAACCAGAAGGGATTGGCATGAAGTATTTAAAGCAATGAAAAGCAAGGGTTTGCAACCAAGACTTCTCTTATCATCAAGCAAGGCTATAAATTAAAATTGAAGGCAAAATAACAAGCTTCCCAGACAAAAAAAAGACTAAAGGTGTTAATTAACATCAAACCAGCACTGCAAGAGATATTAAAGGGACTGCTTTAAGAAGAAGTAGTAATGGTGTGGGGAGGGGTGGCAGGGAGCATAGGTATAAAGAAATAAAATGGCAATGAAAAGTACCTTCAATAATAACCCCAAAGTAAATGGATTAAATGGTCCAATCAAAAGACACAGGGTAACTGAATGGGTAAGAAAACATGGTCCATATATATGCTATGAGAGACCCACCTCAGAACAAAAGATTTACACAAGCTGAAAGTGAAGAGACAGAAATAATATTCCATGCAAATGGAAATAAAAAAAAAAAGAAAGCTGGGGTAACGATACTTGTATCTGACAAAACAGACTTCAGAACAAAAGCCATTAAAAAAGAAAGACAATGTCACTACATTATACAAAAGAGGCTATAATCCTTATATGTGCATCATATAGGAGCACCTAAATATATAAAGAAAATCTTGGTGGACGTGAAGGTAGAGATCAACAGCAACACAGTCATTGTAAGGAA